AAGAATATTCCAAGTGGCACAAAATTGTTGAAATTTAGCAGAAGTATATGCAGGACCATTATCAGTTTTAAGGGCTTGGGGACATCCCATAGTTGCAATGGCTTGGATGAAATGATGACAGGCATGAGTAAAACTTTTTCCAGAAAGGGCTGTAGCATAGAGAAACCCAGAATATATTAGCCAAATGAAAGCCTTTACTACAGCAGGGACACTTTTGGGCTGAAAGTTTAATGTTGGCGTTTTTGTTTTTTAAACTGTGACAGTCTTTCTTAAAATGTCCAGGTTTACTGCACCCAAAACAGGTGGCAGTGGATGGACGGAGAGCTGCTGCTAATACTTGTTCCTTATGAGTTTCTGTGCCAACAGTTTGACATGCTCTAATCATTTCAGCTAGATTAAGACTCTGTACCTTTAAGAGAGCTAAAACAGCCCGACAGTCAGCATTAGCATTTTCACAAGCAAGCTGGAGACAAAGAACTTCAGCTGCTTGCTAATTGTCTACCTGTTGGGAAATGGCAGATTCAATTAAAAGCAGAAGTTGGGTAAGGGCTTCTTCTGACACCTTAAGCTTAGAGGCCTTTAACAATCCCAACTACTGGGTTTTGTGTTGATGCTGCTCAGGAGAAAGAGAATTCCCCATAGCGAGGAGGAATAGTAAAATGAAGGAAAGAATGATAGGAAAGTTCCTGGCCTGAAGCCTGAAATCCCTTGGGAGCGGTCAGGAAAGACCTGCCGCTCTGGGGCTAAAGCAGCCTGATCTGAGAGCGTTCGGGAAAATTCTGCCTGCGGAAAAACCGCGCCGCTCTTGGGCTGTGCCTTTAAACAGCCTGAAACGGACGTCCGATACTCACCACCTAAAGGGATTGAGTGCGAGGGCACCTATGCAGCTATACGGCAGTCTGCCCTCACACGGGGCACCATTCGTCGCAGCGGCGGCGATTGTCAGGGCGGCGGAGACAATAACCAATGCCACAACTCTTACAGAGAAGTGGGGCCAGGAGGGTCACTCTGAGGAATCGAACCCACCTTCAGTCCCAGGAGTTTATTTTATAGTCAATACAGCAAACAGTGAAGCAAGTAACAGAACAATCGGCTTTGGGTGAACAACAATAAGCCTCGGGCAAGGGAGGAGGAATTCAGGTAAACAAGCCAATCAGCAACGGGTTTGGAAAAACAAGTCGTGACATGTCTCAACATGTTGGGGACAAGTCTCAACATGTTGTGCAGCAAAAGAGGCCTTTATACATCCATATTTTAATGTCACATATCCCCACACTCACCATCCACTACTGGTCTCAATAGGCAAGTAGACTTGCTAGTCTCCAGAATAATTCCTGTGGATACGTATTTTAAAACTGAAATCTTAGTCATTCTGTTCAGTTTCCCTTTTAAACATTTCACAAACAGTTTTTGTTGGAAGATGTGTCAGTAAGTGAAGAAATTCTTTCGCCACACTTTTTCTGTCATAATTTGTCATATGAGGAACAATGCATTGATATTTTCTTTATTCATGTAATTGATTATCATTGCATTTCAAATTATTCAGATCTGTGTTTGTTAGACAGACATTGCTATTGTTTATTAATTTATGTTTCAAGATAATTTTATGGGAATTACTAAAATAATATTATGTAATAACTAATGAAATCAGCTCATTTTTTATTGCTTGATAAAATTAATAGGGCTGGAAAAGACATGGATTTTACTGCTATTTGATTGGACACACACTTTCAACATTTACAGAAGCAAACCAAACTTGTGGAAATGAGAAGGCTTATCTAACAACTATTGAAGACAGGTATGTAACTGCTTTAATTTTATTTTAAAGTATATAAAATAATTTAAAAAAATCAGAAACACCTAAGTATGAACATGCTCTAAATTTCTACATAAATTACAAGTCATCTTCAAGTATTGTGTACATAGGTAGAAGCATGAAAAATAATATCCTTATTTGGATTCTTGTAACATTATAAAATATTATGCTACTTATAGTACTGTAAAGCAATATTCAAA